GATATGCCTTCCTCCTGATTAATCTCAGGCTGTTCCTCTCGGTTGTCTGATGAAACCTGAGGCATTATCAGGGAGGAAGGCATTGCCAGAGAGGAAGGTCCTGGGGAGGAAGGCATTCCCAGTTCCTCCTCCTCATCTTCCAAGTCCTCTTCCTCTAACAGCACAGGCTCGGGAATCGGAGCCACAACATAAAGTAAGTAAAAGCTGAGAGAGTGTAAATAATGAGCCAAAAAGTCATGTTGTATAACATCTAGATCAGTGACTTTTTTCCAGACTGGAAATAAAAGTCATCCCAATAGTCAAAGAATCCTTCTAAGAATTTGAGATGATATAGCTTTATAGCAGCCCCTATGGTTGATTCCAACTGATGCAAAGAATTATAGTAACCCTAAGTTAATCCTGCCATCCACTGGAAAGTAGAGAGAGAAAGTTATATATGTAGTCAGTTCTGTGCAATACCTAGCTTCCCTGCCTTGTCGGCCTAGGCTTGCCAATTCTGGCTGAAAGGCTTTACCTGTTAAACTGGGCCTTAAGTTATCACCTGGGTCACTATTCATCCTCAGATCATTTAAATAAGGCAACAATCTGCTCAAATCTAGTAGAATATTTTAATATCTTCCTTCTCTGTTATATCTTTGGTACCGCCTTCCCTCTTTACTTGTCCAATAACTGTTGAAGGAGAAAATGACCTCTCTGAGCCTGGATCAGATTGAGCAATCCCCTAACCCCGTGATGGCGAACCTATGGCACGTGTGCCAGAGATGGTATGCAGAGCTCTCTCTCTGTGCATGTGAGCCATCTCCCCAGCTCAGCTCTGCTGTGCATGTGTGCGCACCTCCTGCCAGCCAGCTGGTCCTTGGGTCTCTGCTACATATGCGCAGGGGGCAGGGGGCACGTGCGGGGGTCATGCATACATGTGCATGGGCAGTGTGCATATGCATGCATGTGCAGGGTGTGGGGGGGGCAGGGCACATGCACAGGGGGGCAGGGCACATGCATGGGGCATGCATGCATGTGGCATTTTGCGGATGCGCGCTCTCTGCGCTTTGAGCAATTGGTGCCAAAAAGGTTAGCCATCACTGCCCTAACCTCTTCTCTATATGCCTCTCTCTTACATAATTCTAACTGATCCTTCCACTCAGCCTCCATCCCAATTGGCTTATCTTCATTTTTCTTGATCAGCCAAGTCCCTTCTTCCTATTTTGGCTTCAGCATTTTGAACTAATATTAACTCAGGAAGCAGGTTCTAACCCCTTTTCTAATTGTTTATCCTTCCTTTGGCCTAACAGTCCGAGGCCAGACATCAGCTTCCTCAGAAGGAGCACTACTCTTAGCATCAACATGTGCCGCAGTGCCCTCAGACTTTTCCACCTCTCATTGAAGAGTATAAGCTCTGGTTCAATGTCTTCTTTCTGAGGCGAATATTCTGGACAGTGCCTGCAGGGTATGAGATGTATGTGGACCAAATTTCCTCCCTGTAGAGGTAGGAGATTGACATAGGACCACAATTGAGCCCAAAATTTATTTTGCTAAGTGAGATGGTTGTTAAGTGAGTTTTGCCTCATTTTATGACCTTTCTTGCCACAGTTGTTAAATGAATCACTGCAGTTGTTAAATTAAGTAATATGGTTGTTAAGTGAATCTGGCTTCCCCATTGACTGTGCTTGTCAGAAGGTCGCAAAAGGTGATCACACGACCCCGGGACCTTGCAACCGTCATAAATATGAATTAGTTGCCAAGCATCCAAATTTTGATCACATGATCACAGTGGTGCTGTCATGTGAAAAAACCTTCTGGTGCTTTGATCACTAAACAAATGGGTTGTCACAAATGGGTTTCCTATTCTTTTTCCCTTTTCATTTGTAGCATTAGGTTTCTTTTAGTTTGAGGCAACTCCACCATTGCCACCAATTATTGCAGGGTGGATTTTTTTTTGAGACACCAATAATCAGGTGGAATCAGACCCAGCAGGCAAAAAGCATTTGAAATTTAGATTGTTAGATTTTTGTATCGCCCTTCATTGATGGCGAGGGGGGGGGGGATATATTTATTTTACAAAAGGAAAGCTTATAAATTAGAAAAGAAATGTAAGTTAATCAATGTCTTCAACTAGTTCAGAAATTAATCTTAATGAAACCATTTTCTGTTTTAACCATTTATTTTTTAATGTGCTATTTATTTGTACAATATTTTGTACAATAACTGTACAAAGTCCAATTTCGCTATATTCTCATAGCTTTCTATTCTGTGCCTCAAATACATTGCCGACATTTACATTTCCGTGATCTAAACCCCTAAACTCCCACTGTCTGTGCAGTTACATCTTTTTAAGAAATCAGTTTGTATTGTATCATTTTTAGGTTGTTTCCATTCTGTCAAAGTTACTTTTTCCCTTCCTCTTTTCAGCTTCTTTGTTCTTGGCTTGGCTTCTTGACCTTTTTTCCTCTTTTGAATTTTGGCTCCAGCTGAGGAAAATGGCTTGAAGATCTTTTACCTGGCACCTCTCTGAGAGAAGGAAATAAACACATTTTTCTCTCTAGTTTTCTCAGCTGCTGCCTCCTTTCTTATTGCCTCTTTCTCAGTAGGGTTACCCAGCCTTTGGTTTTTACTCATTACTTTGACTCCTAGGTTTTGGCTCCATTTCTTCATGAGCTCTGGGAATGAGGGAAGGACAAGAGGAGAGTAGGAGCAAGAAACACAGGTGCTCATAATCTCCAGACAGTCTTTCCATATCATCTTGGACATCCCCTTTATAAATATAGGTAGTCCTCGACTTACAAAAATGTATTGAGTGACCTTAGTATGAGGTATGTAAATGCATATAGAATAACCACAAAATCAACAGCATACCTTTAATAAAAGTTGATACTTTGTAATCCTCTGGACAGGTTTGATCAAATATGAGGAAATGGAGTTGGCCAGACCATGCCTTTGTTGAATTTCCTTTAAAAAAAAAAGTAAAAACAACACTAAACATTCCCAAAAGATGATAAAACAGATAACTGGAATGCAACAAAAAGGTTTGCAGATTCTTTAGTTTCGATGCTCAGTGCAGAAATATGCTATAGATGCTTTTTTTGAGCCAATGTCTATTGTTGCCCTTTATGAACCAAAACCAAAGTAGAATTAATTTAAATTAACTAGTTATTATGATCAATTTTGTTTATTTCATTCATTTAAAGGACAAATGTCCCCAATTGATCTAGTTTCCCACCCCCCATTACTGCTTTTCCCCCCCTTCTTCTTCTTAATATTCTGGAATATTAAGATTTCTGTATGGGGATAAAAAAATCTTATTGTTTTTAGACAAAGGGGTAGGAAGCACATAAGGCACATAAGTTACAGTACAGAGGTGGTATTCAGCAGGTTCTGGCCAGTTCTGGGGAACCAGTAGCAGAAATTTTGAGTAGTTCAGAGAACCAACAAATACCACCTCTGACTGGCCCTGCCCCAATCTATTCTCTGCTTCCCGAGTCCCAGCTGATCGGCTGGGTCTTCTTTTGTTGCCCTGCACAGAACAGAGCTGGAAAGAAGGTTAGTGGGGTGGGGAAGGAATGGAGATTTCACAGTATCCTTCCCCTGCCACACCCACTAAGCCATGCCACAGAACCAGTAGTAAAAAAACGTGAATCCCACCATTGGATACATATCAATCCAAAATTAAATCTGCCCCCACTAATATTTAAAATAGGAAAGGGCTCTAAGTTCAAGAACTTCCAGAGAATCATTATTTGCTCACCTCTGGTTTTTAGGCCTCATGATTTACCACTGTGAATTATGTTCTATGGTTGTTGGGGTTTTTCTTTTGTCAGCTGCCTCCTAAGTTTAAAACTTCTGTGATCAGCGTGGACAAGTTTAACTCGTTTAACAACCTAATTCACTGGCTACCTTGCTGAGAATGGTCACATTACTGTTAATAATCCTAATCCATGAGGTGAGTGAAACTGAAAAAAATTCTGCAAACGCGAATGCCAATAAATTGAACTTTACTGCCCTGTTTCCTTTAGTATTAGGCCCTCTGCTGGTTAATACATTGAACTATCCTATATATTATATATTTGATCAAGGTAACAAGGATAATTGCAAGAACTCTTATTTCTAGAGAATCTTATTCAATTCAATTAAATTCTTGTCTTCCTTTAGTTGAAATTATTGAACCAAATATGATTTTAGCCCAAAGTAAAATTTGAGTAAAGTAAAGTAATTTGAGTAAAGTAATATGAAAACTCTTCTGAATTGAAGAGTTCTGAATTATTTCTTGCAAATAATATTAAAGTTGTTGGCTAATGCCCTTTTGGATGACATGGTTTTCTTGCAAATAATATTAAAGTTGTTGGCTAATGCCCCTTTTAAAGTTTTTTTTTTTAATTCTCACTTCAACAACTTTTTTATATAGGGGTAGATTAATAAGTATGCTAAACAGAGTAGCTAAAGTGAACATCTGTCTTGTGTATTGATACCTGATTGTTATTCAATGCAATGAATAAGGACATCTTTCCCCTATTTGGGCTTAGGAGAGAGAAAGCAGCAGAATGTTCAATGGAACAGACAGAAGAAAGGGAGGGGGGAAAATGAAACATAGCCATATTGCTTTTGAATGCAATTTTTACTTAAAATTGTCCTTTTGTAATTCTTGTGTGCGGCCGAGAATTGGGAGTTAGTCACAAAACCCTACTGTTTAGCCTTGAATCATAATTACTAATTACTCAATGTTATTTTTTAAAAATAATCCACACTCTTAAACACCGTGATATAGACTAAAACATTCCCAAATGATTGAGATGCATTTGCATTGTAAATTTTCAATTTAATTAACACTCCAATGAATAGGCGGTTCTATTAATTACTGAAACAGACAGGCCTGAATTGAAAAACTGCATGGAAAGTGCAAATGTATCATGGCTAGTTACTTTTTCAAAAAAGACTTTGTTGCAAGAATGCAACAAAGGATTTAATAACATATGACCACCAGAATAATCCTAATTTTACCTAATTTTTTCTATCTCCCTAGCAATCAGCATAATTATTTTGTCTTAGACAAATGCATTTTCCCTAGCCACTGCTATGATTTCTGCTGTAGAATCTGGTAATGCAATTATTTGCACAAATGAAGCAATATTTGTCTGATAAAAATGATAAGGCAATGACTTTCTGGCACAAGTTTGGATAATTTGATTTTTATTCATAGGGTTGTGGTTTTTTTTGCTGTGTTATGACAGAGGTAATAATACAGAGTCAGATATACACAAAGCCCCCAAAAGGAAATGACACTCCATTCTAAGATATTTTGATGATGCTCAAACATTTATAGGCAAACCCTTGAAATCCTTGTAACATGACCAAATCTAAACTAGAATTCTCATCAACTCTTTTGGACAATTTTCTTGAGGGATTGCAAATGTGGAAAAAAGAACTATTCAAAATATATTTTTTTTCAAGAGGGGAAGATGAATTTATACTTCGCTGTTATTGCTAGTTTTTTTCAATCTGAAAATTGAAGAATATTTGGTCATTTTCTAAGACAAGCAACAACTTCAGCAACCTCAGTGTTTTCTACCTGTAACATTACACATTCCCTGAGATATACCCGGCGGAATTAGGAATTCAAGATTTCTTTATCCCAGGGCAGTAATTGAAAAAAAAAAATCAAATCACAAGAGTTATTCAAAAGGGAAAAGGAAGGGGTAAAAGAAAAGATGGGAACCAAACAGCAGCACATATCTCTTTCTAAGTAAGAGAAGCCGTAAATTGTCCTTACTTCAAAGAATGTTCCTGCATGCTCTAGGATCAATTGGCTGGAATCAGGTTTGTTTTTACAGTAGGTAACATACATCTGAAACTTATCCGCCTGAAAAATTAATATTAAGAGGGAAAGAAAGACAAGATTAGGAAATGTGGTTGGGGCTCTCCATTTGGCTTCCACTGGAATGTTATAAATCCATCTCTTTTAGATGGATATATTTCAGATTAACAAGAAAAAGTATATTTATTTAGCTTCAGAATGACATATGACATATCAGGAAAGAACAGACATGATGAAACCACTTAGCACTTTGAAAATTTTACTTATTGTACCTACTGCCACTCTTTAAAGTCTTTTTTTCTTTTTAAATCTTCCTTGGCCATGGAAATATAGCCAGTACAACTCATAGTAGGAGCTAATCAGAGTTAATTAGATTAATAAATGATATCTCCCTAAAGTCTCTCAGTTCAAGTTTTGTAGTAACACATGGTTTCTGCCCACTTTCAACATTTTGCAATGTGTACATCTATATAATAAAGAACTAGAACACAGGAAAATAAAAGATTATAGTTCATTTCAGTGGATCTCAATGAAGAACAAAATAAGTATAACATTTTATTCCGTTCAACAATATGCTATATTTCTCTGACAAACTTCCTGACTTGAAATGATTCATCTAATATTTTAACTCACTAATATACTGCACTGATCTCATGAACCTTTGGCAGCAGGAAAATGTTATATGATGAGTTATATCTACCAATGGGCAATCAATGATTTAAATGAATAATATGACTACTGTTTAAGAAAAAAACAAACCTTAATTCAACAGGTAAAATCCAACCAGATTTGCTCAAAGAATACAGTTTTAAAAAGTCAAGTTAACAGCCACAACGGCTTAATCTCACTCAATGTATGTAGAAAACGGAAAACCTTTAATCACAAAGTTACAGCTATTATCTTGACTTTTGTGACACCAGCCATGACTGCTCCCAAAGAATACGTTTCATAAGAATAAGTTTCAGGAATCTACAAGAATAAGCAGGTTTGGAGGACAGGAAATAAATAATTCAGGCTATTTTCGCTATTTTATCTCAGAAAAAGAGTGAATATAATCTACCATTTTGGTCTCTTCAAAGGTGCACAAAACCTACCTACAAATATACAAAACCTTCAAAAGTAAAGAATAATATGTTTAGACTTATTACCCAGGTGACAAAGCAGTGACCAACATCTTCAGGAAGTTGTTCGTATTTTTCCAGTTCTTTCAAAAAAATACTGGAAAGAAATGAAAACAAAGGTAGAAATTAGTCACAGTATATTTTCTTCACCGGGGAAACAAAATGGCAACAGGTATTGGGTAAGCAGCTCTGAACTTAACCTTCCCAATGCCTTTTTCATCTTTTACTATTGTTTTACATGAGAGGAAAATGGGCCATAATGCTATCGAACAGATTCTCTTTATGGGATCGACATTCTGGCCACAATTTTATTTATGTATACATTTTTTCCAGTACTGCAGAATCTAGTGGCACTGAGGGAGGGAACCACAGTATCAAAGCAAACATTTATTTTTAAAAGAAGTACACAATATCTATCTCAGGGACTGCTTCTCTCCGGTTGTTTTTGTCTGTCTGCTTTGGTCCAGCAGAGTCGATGCATTCTGGTTTCTGTCATCTTGCGGGACCCAGGCTGCAATTTCAGGAGAACTTTCTAACAGAATTACAAAATAAGAGTTGGAAGAGATTTTGGAGGACTTCTAATCCAATACCCTGCTTGGGAAGGAAACCCTATACCAGAGGTCTCCAAACTTGGCAACTTTAAGACTTGTGGACTTCTGGGAGTTGAAGTCCACAATTCTTAAAGTTGCCAAATTTGGGGCCCCTTGCCCTATGCTATTTCAGACAAATGGTTGTCCAATCTCTTGTTAAAAATCTCCTGTGCTGGAGTGGAACACCCACAATTTCTGGAGGTAAGACATTCTACTGATTAATTGTTCTAACTGTCAGGTAAATTCTCTTTAGTTTTAGTTTTGCTTCTATCCTTGATTAGTTTTCATCCATTGCTTCTTGTCCTGCCTTAAGGTGCTTTTGGAGAATAGATTGATCAAACAGAATGACCTCCCCCCAGATATTCATATATCTCCCACTCTAATGTTGTTTAGGAAACTACTAAAGACCCGATTGTCCTCCCAGGCCTTGGCACACCATGAATTTTGCTTTGTTTTGTTTTGTTTTGCTTTGTTCTTGTTTTGATTACTTTGTTTTTCCAGTCTGTTGTATCTTTGATATATTTATAATATATATTTTGGTTCCTAGTTGTAAGTTTCCAGACTTGTATAGGAGTCTATAGATATAACTTAATTGAATACACAACATTTAAAAAGTGATCACTCAAGGTCGCAGATATCCTAAATGTAAACAGATGAAATTAAGGTAAATTTCATGCTCAAGTAAAACTCAATTCATTTTTATTTTGAATTGGCTACAAATTAAACCAAATAGGATAGAATCCAATTGATGGACAGTCTACTCGCCATGATACTTTACTCCCAGACCAGGAGATAGTCAAAGTTATGGGTTCATTAAAATGTGTGGCTTTTGAACAGCTACTTCCACATAATTGTGCAAACAGAATGCTAGTTTTAGCTGCACTGGTGTATAATATTCTTTATAGGAAATACCCATTTTGAGAAAAGAGGTGCTACGACTGCACTAAGCTCTATAGTAGAGCTTGTCAAAATTACTTATTCATTGTCAACATGGTACCCATGACTTACTCAATGAATCAACATAATAGCAACCCTCAACAGCCAAGTATTAGTGTTGCTATGATGAATACAGAAGCTCCATCATTAAAGCCAATTATAGTAGATAAAATTCCTTTCTAAACCTGATAATTAGTAATTGATTTTCATCTGCAGCAATACAATTTAAGGCATAGAATGGAGTAGCTACCAATGGCACAGGTGAAGACAGATTGGTATTATAACTTCTTCTTCCATGTCAACTTCCAGGCACATTATTTATTGAGCAGAAGATAGTTTTGGCCTCCTGTACAACCAAACATCATACTATATATTTTAGTAGGAAACATAGTTACACCACACAGACATTGTCTTCATCCTGAGTATGACAGAACATATGTTTCTGTAACAATAGTGCCGTTACCTTTTACATAGGAATTGTATTTTGCATATACCATGATGTGAAAAAAATAACATATCTCAATATGTTTTAGAAAACATACTTGTTATGAAAGTCATATATTTCCTGGATGTTTCCAAATATTATGTGTTCCTTGTTCAGAATCCCTGGCGGTATCTCCTCTACTCCACTTGTCATTTCCCAAAGGTAGGTCTAGAAAACAATGTGTATTGTACATTTATTCATTTTACATATTTGTACAGTTCTTAAGCAAGGAAAAAGTTATATATAGCCAAAAAGTTACTATTTATTTTTCTGGGTAAAAGCAGAGAATATCTGAGAAACGTTCAGTATACAAACACCGTAAACCAGGGGTCCCCAATTCTAGGGCCTTGGCTCACTACTGGCCCACAGCCCATTTAGAAGTGGGCTGTGGAAATGGCAAGAGCAGGTGCGTTTGTGTGCCGATCTAGTTCAACACATGGCAGGACCGCATGTCCACCACTTGTGCAAACAGAGCTGCATGTGCACACACTCACCCATTGCTTGCACGGAACCATCCCTTCTTCCCCACCACTGGTCTTTCCAAGTTGGAAAGGTTGGAGACCACTGCCATAAACTGTTCAATGGTGTGAATAATGTGAATGCTCCAAAAGGAACTGCAGGCCAATATTGTCACGCTCTTTTTATGCTAAACACAGAGAAATGGGTCCTATAGCGATTAAAAAAGAGGGACACAGTGGCTCAGTGGCTAAAACGCTGAGCTTGTCAATCAGAAAAGCCAGCAGTTCAGCGGTTCGAATCCCTAGCGCTGCATAATGGAATGAACTCCCGTTACTTGTCCCAGCTTCTGCCAACCTAGCAGTTAGAAAGCATGTAAAAATGCAAGTAGAAAAATAGGGACCACTTTAATGGGAAGATAACAGCGTTCCATGTGCCTTTGGCATTTAGTCATGCTGGCCACATGACCACGGAGACGTCTTCGGACAGTACTGGCTTTTCGGCTTTGTAACAGAGATGAGCACCATCCCCTAGAGCTGGAAATGACTAGCACATATGTGCGAGGGGAAGCTTTACCTTTACCTTTACTAGTGATTAAAAAACTGGAACAAGACCAGGCAGCCTTAGAATCAAATCTAGTTTCACTATGGGACTTCTGAAGAGAAGTTATTCCAAGGTACGTTGCAAGGTTTACTGGAAAAACTGGTGGCATTATATATACTGACTTAAATTCCTTGAGGAAAGGCAGAATATAATAATAAATAATCCAAAACTCTAGTAGTTAAGAAAATGTTTCAAATTCAAAGCAACAGCTCCAAAACATTTATTTTGTGTTCAAAACACAAGTGCCAAATTGTCTGGGAAGTGTTTCAAACCTACACACTTCTCTCTCAAATTTGAAATCATCTGCTTGGGGCTTATACAACGCTTCCCAAACAGTCAAAACAGCCCATTTTGCATAAGGAATGACTGCTTTAAAATTCAAGATAGGGATTTTCAAATTTGAAATGTTTTGAACATCCTACAAAATCCTTTCTCCTATTTGGATGCCACGTATTCTCGCTCCTTCACTTACTCGGCTGAACATGTAACACGCCAGTTTGATCACATCATTTCTATTTATATTCCCCACAATTCCACTTATGTAGGGAGTCTGTCATAAGTACCTGTTGTGAACAAAGCTTTGTCAATCATTCCCAGTGTGCTGGCTGCTTGAATATTACATATACTCATGAGGGAGAGAAAAAATCGCTACATACAGAGAGAGGAAGATACCCCAGCCATTCCCTCTCTTAGAAACAGAACATGCTTGCTCCTTTTAAAATTAAGGGAAGAATTCAAGCTGGAATAAATCTGCAGAAGGGTGGGAATTTATCACCTTTTCCAAAGCCTCTCATTCAAGCTTGAAATCCACACCCCCTTCCCCCCAAAAGGGGGGAATCTTCACGGGATTCTTGCTGTTTCTGTACTGTTCTATAAAGTTCTTTATTTCTCTATATAAATTAAAGAATTGTATGTAATTCCATCATTTATGCTTAGTAAAAACATGTCTTAAAGAATATTCTTGGGGGTTGTAGTATTTTGTAATTTCACCCTGTGGTCTATAATATTCTTGCTGCATTTGAAACAGACCACTAACATTTTGTGAGCTGTCTGGAGCATTGTGTAGTTGGGTTGTGGTTGGTTTTGTTTTGTTTTGCTCTTTTAATTTCTGTCCCGTGGTCAGAACAGCTCTGCGTTGGTCTCCCCGATTCTTGAATGCTGGCACTTTAATACTAATGGGTACAAAGAAGTTTTAAAAACATTTATCATTTCTTGACCACTTTGATTAAAGATAAAAGTTTCTCCAGCTTGTTTCTACATGGATACCCTTTTGGACTTCTTACTTAAGAAAGATAAAAATGAAGTTTTAGGATTTGCTAATTAGATTTGTTATGATTATAGAAATACTGTGTATTTTTTTTAGAAAGGCAGTTTTTAAAGGTTTGTTTACATTTAAAATAAATAGCTGTTTCGCTATATAGCCCTGGTTTGCATTATTTAGTTTGCATCATTTATATGATATTTTTTTAAAATTTATAGTATGAGGTTATTTATTATATGTTTATACATTTACTAAAGAAAGTTGGAAGTCATTCTTTTTGTATTTGCCCTTCTTTTCTCTTGTCACTTAACTTTTTTCTACTCCAATCCCTTCATTTGTTAGTCTCTTTTATTAATTTGTATTTTATCTTCCTTTGAAATTTAATAAAGTTGGCTTTGAAAAAAATAAAAACATTTATCACTTCCTGTTTTCAATTAACTCGCATCACATTTGTTTCGTAAGAACAAAATCTGCCTATCTGGATTTATATGATCAGAAAGTTGTAATATGGACATGTCACATTTTGTTATTTCAATTGTTCAGTACAGGCTGTGACAGCCATATTTCTTTCACACACACACACACACACACACACACACACACACACACACCACACACACATCATGATAGGGTGGATGTCAGGTGAGGTGCTCTTTCAAAAATAGGTGTTGGCAGCAAAAACTACCAATTTACCACCATAAAGCAGAAGGAATGAATTAGGCTTTCCCCTTTTTCACTTAAGTCACATTTGCTATAATGACCACCAATCTGTACGCTACCACTGAAATAAAAATCATTATTATTTTTCAAATCATTGGTATACTGTATACAACAAATTGTTACACCATAGGAATTTTATATAAAACATTGTATTTATTCTTGCAAGGCACCGTACCTCTAAACATTCATGCAGGTCCCTAACGTAGGCCTTCTCGGTCTGAAGCAATTCAGCCATGATGAACCTATAAGGAGAAATGATTTTGTGTAAATACTGTATATAGAACAAGCACACAGACACAACACAATATTTCCATTTTGTCTGTCTCATAGTTGTGCTGATAACATTTCTGAAAGAAAAATTATAAACACTGCCTTAAGCCTTCTATAGAAAAGATAAGTTGAAGTATAATATATAAATATATGAATAAAACACAAGAGAAGATGAAGATATATATGTTATCTGTGTGTCTGGAATGATGGATGCTAAATATTTCTGCAGTATAATTGCACTAATATTTTTTTTCTCTTACTGAGAGTTCTGACTTTAATAGATTACTATTTTCTTTGAATGTCCCAGCGCTCTGTTTAGAACATATTGGAGTATGAATACATTTGAATCTGTTGTGCAATATAGTTATCTTGACATTACTATGTAATTTACATAATAATTAACATTTTAGAGACTGTAAAATTTCTGGAATCCAGAAGAAATGCCATTGTTGTTAATCTCACCAAAGTAATACAATTTGTGCTTTTAACTTGATAAACTGGGTGGGTGGGTGGGATTAGTTCCTGACCAATGAACATATAAAGAACAAAAGAGAATACAATTTCTAACATAATATTCTGTCACACTACATTTTGATATAATGCCCTTTTTTGCTTCCTTGCCCAATAGCATCACTATTTTTTAAACCATTAAATCAATACAGGCTATAATAAAGGATGGAATGATACTCCTACTTATCATGGGGAAATTGAAGATCAAACTGAACAAGAAACAATTTATTGCCTAGTTCCCAATGAATAATCCCTTAGAATACTGAGATTTCCTCAGTAACAAGCACAATAGCAATTGCTACACGCTTGTAAATATTTTATTGTTTCAAACACATCTGCAACAAAATATCCGAGTAACATGTCATTATCCAAACAAAATAGATGTGCCCTTTTCTGAAATGCAATAACAACCTCAAGCATCACTATAACAACAACATAATCATCATCATCTGGATTGGATTTATCCCAGACTTTCTGTATCCATATGATTACATGTTATTCTTCTTCTATCTCTGTTCTGGCCATTTGCCAGAATAACATGCAGTACAAATGTACAGAACATGATATTCTAGCTGCCTCACATCTGGGTGAGCTTGCTGATATGCTGAGAAGAAGCGGACGCATTTTGTGAACTCATATATTACTGAGGCACCTGATTCTCACCACTTACTCTTTTTTTCTGGCTGACTTTCTCTTTTCTTCATTGGCTTCATGGCTGGCATCGCGTAGCCTTACTTCACGATCAGACAGACTTGCTGGAATGATGTCCAACTCCAGGTCTTTATTATCCTGAAAAATGCAGTGACACAAAGCTTTAATAAATTGTTATGCTTTGTGAATGAATAAATAAATGCAAAACTGTACTCACAAAGAGAAAGAGATGGAAGGAAAGCTGGAAGGAAATATTTCACAGTGCAAAAAGGCCAAATGCACTGATATATTTATGGATAACTAGTTAAAGGCATATCTGACAAGTCACAGATGCTGAAAGAATTTGGGGAAGCTTTTTCCTCCCACTGTGTGGGTCTTCTTAAAGACAATTGAACGTGGGGATGGGTTTTTTTTTTGTCTTCCAAAATATTGGTCCTAAGAGATGCAATTTGATCTTCTCAATGGTAGAAACAAGTATATCCTACCTATGTTTGTTAAAATGAGATTCAAAGCATAGACTCAGTCATTCTCAATTCAGTGGCCTGATCTCAGTTAAAAACACTAAATTCCCTTCTTTTTTTACAATTTCCACAACAGCTTTCTATCCCACATTCCTCTACCAGCTATTTCCTCCCTTCATGCTCAGAAGCAAATTTGGGGGGACTAAATGAAGATCTAGCAAGGTGGGGGAGGCTTCTGGAAACAAGAATCATACACACACACAAACTGTTTCAATTAGTCTATAAGTGACTAATGGTGAAACCACAAAGATTCTTCAAAGCTTTCTGTGGGAGAAAAACTTTTTTCAGTCATTTTTTCCCCTCCCTTAAAGCTTATATATTTATGGGATTATTGCTTGTTGGGCACAGAACGGCTGAATTTCACCCTGTGGCAGTTTAACCCTTTCATTCCCTGGGAATCAAGTCAAGTATGTTATCTGCAGCTGGAAGCTTAGACTGAAAAGGCCTTAAACAAACTTCGGAAGGTCGCAACACTTCCCACATGGTCATCAGATGGTTTTTTTAATCTTTGGGAGCATTGCAACTATCAACCAAATCACCTTCATACTATCTATTCTACCTCTCTATTCTTGCAGTGGAGCTAAATGTTGTCTTTCCAAATCTATTTTGGGAGATCTCTGTGCTGCACCAAAGCAAAGCAGGACAGGGTGGATGGGAAAGAAGGTCATATATCCCAAATCCAGGCGTCTTCCTTAATAAAGATATGTCAGAAAAACATGCAACTTACAGTACCTCTGTATTGATCCCAAGAGCTTTTTCCAAAGTGTAGCGGTACTTCCCCATTCTCAGTGAAAACTCCCGATAGCACTTGTCAACTGTAGTAACCCATTTCCTAATTTCTGTGGCATGTGTGTGTCCTTTCTCCACGAAGCTATCGGCCAGCTGAATGAGCAGCTTCACTTTCTCCCTGGTTTGCTGTTTGAAAAAGAGTTGTTCTTGGTGATCACATCTTTCACGGACATTCTGTTCCGTTTTAATTCACAAAGTAACCATCTGGGCCTTGTATTTTTCACAAATGCTGCTAATGTGAAAATGTCCTTAAAATCTTCGGAGACAGAGTGTAGGTGGGATGCGGCTTTTGCCATCAAAAGGTTTTTAAATCTGTGCGTTCTGTGTCAGATATCAGGGCAAGTAAGTAAGAATAAAATAGCTCTGGTGGGTTTCATTTCACAGTATTTGTTGGCATTAACAGAACCCACATAAGGAGAGGGACATGATTTTTGTCTAATTGCTCTGCCTATATCACTTACTGGCTGTTCCAAAAGGTCTTTCCAATCCTCAAAAATGCTTTCCAGGAAAGAGGGGTGAGATGGCAAAAAAACCCCAAAAAACCAAATGTTTCATCTTGTGCCACTGGAAAGACTTTAAATTAGCATATAGCTCTTACTGAATATATGATACAGTAATGCCAGCTGCATAGTAGTTAAAAAATTATTTTCCAAAATAATTCTTTTCCACTGATATTCGTGCCCACCCACTGGAATAACCTCTACATAACTGAGCAGTCTGATTCTGAGATAATCTTTTAAAAATAAGATAAAGATAAATAATGCCTCTGAACAGTTTCTAATGCTTTCACTTATTTCTATTAAACACTGCTGAATGGGAAATCATGCCTGGAAATTGACAAATAAGCAGACTTGCTCTTACATGGCAACAGGCAACATACAAAATAAATAACTAACATGAAAAACTTTCCCAAAATAACATTAGGATTAAATTACTTTTAATGGAAATAAAAACAAGTTTAGTGCACCCTCCAAGATATCGGATTAAGGCTGGGGGAATGCAGCCTCGAATTAACATTGCAGCCATGGAAATTCATCATATGACTTTTAGGCCAATCACTCTCTTTTAGCACATCTCTAATAGACTCTCTGTTGGAGCAACAAAGCTGGTTGGGAAACTCAAGCATGATTGCAAAAACAGCCAAAGTTGGAATGTAAAAAAGAGATTCTGTCTTAAAGCAGTTACATACAAGTAGTCCTTGGCTTGCAACCATAACAGAGTCCAGAATTATGATCATAAATCGTGGTGGTCGCTCAGCAGATGATGTGTCCACATCTGATTTTACCTCCTTTTCTGCTGTGGTGGTTAAGCAAGCACCATGCTTGTAAAACAAATCCAAACAGACCCAATGGGTGCTTTTGCCAGAAACAAGAAGTCAATGCCAGAAGCCAGCAAAAAATGCTGAAAATCGCAAACAGCCATTAATGAGAGCCAGTTGCCAAGCGCCCAAAATGCGATCATGTGACCATGGGTTTTGTACCTTTTGGGAGGGGGTCCATCATAACACCAAACAACCATTAAAAGAATGATTGCTAAGTGAGGACTAACAATATATTGATATAAAGTATTATAAAAATTACTTCTACTAATCATTTGTTTATTTTATTCATACTGATATTCCACCTCTTCTCTTAGTACTCAAGGTGAGAATTTTATTCCCATTACAACAACACTGAAAAGGCTGGGATAAGAGAGTATGACTAGTCTAAAGACAGGCCAAACGTCTATGGGTAAGGATGGACTTGAACCTACATCTGTAGTCCAACACATTAACTACACCACATTTAAATATCATTTGTCTTAAGGAACCTTAAAATTGTTTTCCTAAAACAAATAAACATACTTACAAACAAACTGTTTGCTCCTCTATATCATTTTATAACTAAAAAGAATTGCAGTATGATGTTTAGATATTAAAAGCATGCCATTAAGAACTTCACTAGCTTAATAGTCCAATTGTCTAAAATAATGTGAATTGTGTCTGAATTCTAAGAACTATAAATATTTATATTTATTAATAGTATAATATTATATCTTCAGATTTTTTCCTTCTGTTTAATTGTATCTGGTTCTCAGAGACAATCTGGACAAATCCCTACAGTTTTCTTAGCAAGGTTTGCCATTGCCTCCTTCCAGCTGAATTCTTGTCAAAGGCAGCACTAGAACTCATGGTCTCCTGGCTTCTAATTTGACATCTTAACCATTACATTAAACTGGATTTCCTATCAGATAATATAAATCAAACTAATTCCATGAGTTATTTCACTTATAAATGAATATCTCACCCTCCTTAAACTTACATAAGATTTGAATTGTCATAAACAGTAAAGGGCATTAAACTCTTCTTCTCATACGTACAAATTCATGGTATGATTTATTATGCTGCTCAAGCAATCCCACCTCCCCCATGTTGGATAGTTGTCTCAGCAGTGCCTTCCACAATCATATATTTATTGAATTCTTAATTATAAAACTTCATATAGTTTATAAATTATAAACACAGTTTACCTTAGCAGGTACTTTGAATTCTCCATATTCTTTCAAAAGCTCGTGTGTTTCATCTGCTGATTCTCCAGTGGAAGTGTGAGTAGAGAGATAATATTCTCCAGTTTCCTGAATCCAATCCAAAGCCTACATGTGGAGCAAAAATACATAAAAAACCAGAACCTTATGATACTATAAGATTAATACATTTTATTATGCAGGCATGTATCCTGAACTGAGTATTATATTTCTCTGTTCCTAATATTCAAAATATCTGAAAATACTAGCACAGTTAAGGAGCAACATCCACATTAAATTTAAAAAGTAAGAAAATGCATTGTGCTCTATAGCGGATGCCATTATCTGCTCTAGATAATAGCTCAGGCAATTAATGTTAAAGAGCTGTTAGTAGAAAAATAATTTCAGCACCACGGCCAGTAGAATAGATGACAAAAAGGATTTTGGTTTTCTTTTAGGACCATGGAGAGCAACCTTGCAGTAAAATTCTCCCTTCCACCAAAACACAGATTCCTCCTAAAGGTTTTATAGGGAAAGCAGGAAAAAGTCCCTGAAGTGTCCATCAATGCTATTCATTACTTGCCTTTTGTTTTTCCTCAATAACTCACTGCACACTTTCCCCAGTAAATCACTGAGGACCGTTTTCCATTATTATGTCCTAGATATGGAGTGAATTGCCATTTTCATCTCCAGTGGACTTCCTTTTATCTGGACCCTCTTCTTGAATCATAAATTGCCCTAAAGAGAGGGAACTCTCCTTACGGTAAAGCTCAAACTGTCACTCGAACCCTTCGAAATACAAGATTTCTTTCCATGAAAAATTATTGCTCCCAAGAAGAATGCAAAGACCATCCCTCCAAGTCAAAAGGGAGGCACATTTTATACAGGCAACGTAGATAGAATAAAGCAGGGCTGTCAAACTCCTGGCCCATGGGCCAGATGCGTCACACACTGGCCATGCCCCCACCCAGTTTAGTGAAGGGGGAAAAAGTCCCAATAAGTCACATGATGCCACCGTGATGATGTGAGTGACACCCCTGGAAAAGGAGGTTCCAGAATAAGAGACTAGTTCTACTGCTTCCAGGAACTGCTATTGTAGTCTTTGGTGGCTCACTTCCAAATGGAAGACTATGAAAGGCTCCCATATACAGCTTTTTATAGAATGCAGACTGTGTTATATTACAGTATGGAGTGATTATTGCCTTGAATTCTGCAAAGTCTTTCACTTCTTTTCATTTCTTCCTGTTGTTGTAAACCACCTAGAGTAGCCCAGCAGTGGAATAGGTGGCAAATAAATTTAACAAATAAAGTCAAAACAGAATTCTGCAAACTTAAACAGAACGTATTTCTGATATGACTGTTGTGTTATTCAGTCTATTCTGACTGTCTGCTAGCCTGTATGAGCACTAAGTACAGGAGAGAACTGTGCAATTAACAAGGACTGAGCGTATACTAAAGCATATGCTTTTCTGGATCATTTTGTGAAATTTCTTTTCTATGCCAATATATTGTAATGATTTCAAGCTGCAAATCAAAGATCAAAGGGTTATGTGTGCAGTAGGAAAGTGTATGCCAGTTTTCTTACTCCATTATTCCATTTTTTTTAAAAAACCTTCATGTGATGAAGCTAACAAAGCTTCAGCTATAAAATAAGGTGCAAAGGTATCAGGTTCTCCTATGGAATGTAGAATATTAAATGAAAAGAATGGTTTTTGATTCAAAATCTATTAGCCTTAATACTTAATTGAACTAATGACCAATTGGATTTAGTTTCTATCTGTCTTGAACTTTTCCAGTGATTACAGTTAGCAAGGACTGGACGTAGGACTTAAATACAAAAAGTAAGCATCACAGATAAATTCTCCCCACAGGCAATCTATTAAGAGCCGTGGTGGTGCAGTGGTTAGAATGCAGTATTGCAGGCTACTTCTGCTGATGCCAGCTGCCAGTAGTTCGGCAGTTTGATTCTCACCAGGCTCAAGGTTGACTCAGCCTTCCATCCTTCTGAGGTCAGTAAAATGAGGAGTCAGACTGACTCTATAAACTATTTAGAGAGGACTGTAAAGCACTGTGAAGTGGTATATACCAGAAGTCTAAGTGCTATTGCTAGTGGTAGTGCTATTAAATTGCCTCACATTCGCCAGTGTGGTCCCCAAATAATGAAGAGAAGTGCAGCATTTTGTCAAGTTACCTGCTTTGCACTGCGCTCAAAGACTACGTATTGCTGACACTGATCCAGTCGCCTTTTCTTCAAAGTCCAGAAGTGAAGAACACGATTTTCCCTCTGCAGCAGCTCACTCAGAATGGCTATGGATGGAAAAGGAGAAGAGCTGTTTGCTTAGCTGGTTTGGTAAGCACAGCCAGAAGAAAGTGATTACTGAGTTCCCCCTTGTACTTTGTCCTAAGAATGTAAGTTCCCTAGAGTTAAACACTTCAGTTCAGACCTTTTTTAAAAAAAAAAAAGCAAAGCAAAGCCAGGACAATCATTAACACAAACAGCTTAGTACATTTTTGTGAACGTCAGTGAGCTCAAAACTCTTGTAAAAGCAGAATACTTTCACTAGTGAAGAACACTTCAGCCTGTGCTTTTAAAACTCAGAAACAAACACACACACACACACACACACACACACACACACACACACAGACCAAACAAACCTTAAGCTATGTAGACATTAAGAGTTTAGACAACCAGCTACTCTAGGTAACATAAATACACTCCATGTCTTTTTAGTGTACCTATACTTCAAATATTTCTACCATTCTTGATTAAATTTAGCAGTTCTATTAAATCATATTTCTCTGAGGATATTGCTATGCAGGTACCTGTTGAAATAACAGTCTAAAAATACTATTTCATGATATTATAATTATCTAAATTTCCACTAGAAACAATTGTATTTCTTTAACTATATTAGATCATTATGGTCATCATCATCATCAGTTCAAATATCATCAGGCAGTAGAAGATTTAAATTAAAAGATTTTTTCAGCACATGATCATGAATGACCAATGCATCCATATATTAAAGCTTGTAACATATGTTACTTAAGTGTAGTGCCAGTGTAGCTCAAGAACATTGTGCAACAGAAAAATATATTTCAGGAAGAGTCTTTAATTCAAAATAGAAACATGATGGCTGCCCATCATGAAGAATATCTCTTTTTTTGCATTTTTGCATTTTTACGTTAGGGTTTAGAAACCCTACAGTGATGCATGTGGAAACTTTTTGAAATGATAAACCATGTTCTGAAGACAACTTTTGGGCTATCCCTAAGGTTTATAGCTAATAAAGCCTTTATACCTAGAACATTTGTAAAGAAGGGAATATTAGGTTTGCAAATCTTTTTAAGGATTACAGACTTAGACCTGAAGAATGAATTGCAGACATTCATATATTTTAAGTACCTCTATATGTAATAATCAGATAGGAGGTATTGATTAGATTGATTAGTTAGATTATTCCTAATCTATACAACAGAACCATTTCCTTGATTTCTGAGATGTGACCAAAATATTTTGCAACTCCTTGGGATATCTGATCATATTCGGTTTGGTCTACAAAGATGGTAAGTGCATGCATTTCTGCTCTTATGTAATCCATCCTTTCCTGAGAAGAGTATAAACAGAAGCAGTGAGTGCATGGTATACAATATTACTAAAAGCTAAGATATGATTCCCTTAATGCGAGGCTCACTGACCTTTCACTTGCTGTTCAGGGCCCCTGGTATGGCTCACTACTCCTGGCATGCTGACGTTGTTTCGATGAATGTACTTGAGAAACACTTCTGCATTCCTTCGTGCTAGTGTGCAGGCCTGTGGGCAACAAATAACACCCCCAAGACCCAGCATGACAGTTACAATTTTGACAAGCAAATGGGAAGAATAAAACATTAAGGAACCTTATGAACTGTGACTTGAGCTTCATTTTCTCTTTTGACCTCTGAAGAATGTTGATGTGCATGAGAAAACATGAGAGGTCTTCAGACTGCGGTCAGACACAACCATCATTTGGGGGATGATATGAGGGAAAATATTACATAGAAACATTGACCTATTTCCAAGAAAAGTAACACTAATGTCCCAAGCAGGATGTCCCAAGTAGGATGTTAATCTTGCTTTAACTCTAGAAGCTGCCAATATATTCCTTCAGGAAGTTAGTCCTTCAAAGTTATACAATTGTCTCATCTGTATGTTGTTACTTAAAAAAAAAAAGAGCCATGAGTTCTTTCAAAACATACTTATGAGCATTGTGTGGCATTAGGAAGGAAAGCCAGTCATTTCCTCTATCAAGAGTACATTTAGCTTAAGACCTGGTTAGGCCAATAGTGACATTTTAAGGCAAATCAAAGGCAAAGGTCTTTCTCAGCCCTGACTTCCTATTGTACAAGAATTTGTACAATGTACAATGCACAAGCCACTGAGCAACTACTGTAGCTGGAGGTACTCTGAACTGGGAAAATGAAAATTTGGAGAGAAGGACACCTCAACAAAAGAAAAGGATCTGATTTAAATTCTTTAACCTCTCAACATAAGTACTATACATCTTTAAAAAGGAGACGAAGAAAAAACTCAAGAGGTTTCAATTGCTCTTCTGCTCTGTAGCTTGATCTTACTTTCAAGATAATTGCCATCTTAGCTTAACATTTATCAGAGATTATGGAACATCTCATTGTTACCTCTCCTTCCCCCTCCAAAAAAAGAAGAGAAGAAGCAACTTATGGATATTTGCCCAAAGTTGCCTTCCTTCATGTTTTCATACTGGCCATTAGCCTTTTTTTAAAAAAAAATGTCGCAGGGGACACAGATTTATTAGACTTCTGTTTTTGCAGAAATGTTATTATCTTAGAATCAGCTCTGATGATACACCAAAAGTCAATGCATAACTATTCTATTTAGGCTAGTGGAATATTCATATGAGGTAACATGACAGCAGCAAATTTGTGTGAGATCATCTATTCCTTTTCAGAACAGAAAAAAATGCAAGCTAATTTTTTTTTTAGTTTTACAGAACTAAAAGAATGAGAGGTTAAGGCAAGCAGTCTTTGAAATGGATAGTGTTACTGAAGAAGTTTATGTTTGTTTTATTAGGCGATTCTAAGCATGAAGAAACCCCCAGAATTCTCTATTTCATGGCCAGTCATGGTTCAGGCTATGCAGGCATGAAATCATTCTGGTGAAGAACATACATTGGGAATGCATGCACATGCTGTTATCCTTTGATGGCTCCTATTATAAAATAAGATGAAAGATACCTCTCTCCTACAAAACACAGTAGATCAAAGATAGAACATAATTTATGTTCCTATAGACAGATTTCCATCCAAGTTAGCACCTAACTTACTCCTGCAGTAAGAGCAAATGGAAAAAAAAACCAGTTGCTTAAAAGCAAGGAAAATAGACTGGACCTTGAGAAAGGCTTCCTTCTGTTCCAGATGTTTGCTGATTAAGGGGATAACATGATCTATCTCAGAGGATGGTCCCAGCTTATCCCGACCTCCACACCAGTCTTCGTCTCTTCGATATTCTTGCTCCAAACTCTCCAGCACACTGCAAACCTTGGGCATAAGCCAGAATACAATCGTTTAGTTATCAAAGTTACCTTTAAAAGCAGAAATGATTTACCATTAAAAGCATGAACCTATCAGCTGACCAAAAGTATAGGCATGATTCACAGATGTTACAGGAAATTCATCCTACAGAAAGTTGAGGTGAAGCAGCCTTTCTCCCATTTGAACCTCTACAAATATATTAGATGGCATCATCCCCACCCACTATGGCCATTGACAAGGAGTAATGGAAGTTGTAATACCAAGCAAACCGGAAGAGTCTAGACTGAGAAAAACTAGGTAGGAACACAAACTATTCAAAAACGTCTTATCAACAAGACTGTGTGTATGTGTATATACATACATGGACGTACTTGTCAATTTATTCTGTATTTCTGATGTATTGTATTGTATATTGGTATTTTGTAACTATTAAGAGGGATTTTCTATGTCGAGCAATTGAACAGCATATTTTATACATATTACAAAAATAGTGTCATTTGATCTACCAAAGGTTTAAATTTTAACTATAAGAAAAATGAAATATTAAGCTCATTCCTTGGGAGTGCTTTAAAATAATTTTGCCACATTCATCATGTTCCCAATAGGTGACCTTTTAATTACGCTGACGTAATATAGATAAGTCCTTTGTGCTCATTAGGGTTACCAAATATAAACTTCAACGAGCAGCATTGTTTACAGATGCCTAGAAAAGCAAAGACCATAACACTATGTGCAATTCGTTCACTACGGCCGATCACTCCATGTTACTGAATAATCGGTAGCAATTCTAAATGGTAGCAATTATGTTTTTATGCTATGGTCATTTCATATAGTAGCGGAGAAACTGTACACAAACTGAATGCCATTGGTATTGAGGAGAAAGGAGGCCTTTGTTCCTCTCACCTGCTCTGAAGTTTTATAGAAAGCAACCGAGGCATTAACCAGTTTCAGCCGGTCCTCCATCTTTAGCATGAGCTGCTGCCAATGTAAGGCCACTTTTTCCGCACATTCCCGGATGGCATCAGCATCGTAATGGCCGGCCTGCAGTAACACCTCTGCCTTCTGCTGTACCTGGAGGGCACTCTGGTGTGTCTTCTGCAAGGAAGTGGCATGAAAGAGGGACTGTGTATGTGGGGAGGAAAGAGAGAGTTGTACAGGTGTGCCAAGTGAATGGTATAAAGAGGTGAGGTGTGAGCATGAAAAGATGAGAGAATGAAACACTTTTTAGAACGAGCATTCGGAAACAGTAAGCATTCTGCATAATCATGCAATGGCATTTACTGATATTACTGATAATTCTAGGTTTATATCCCAATTTTGGGTAAAACAGCCCAAATGGCATTTAAGTAAAAAGAATGCTGACATTTAACTGGTGTGTTTGCTGAACAATTCTTTAGATACTTTTTATTTGCATCATTATTAGCCTAAGATATGAAAACTCACATTCATTTTAAAAACAGATTTTAGTATGTGTATTCTATTCAATGAGTTGGACATGACTTTGTAGCCAACAACAACCACAAAAAATCTATTCTAAGCACTTTTTTTTTTAACTACAACATGATAATCTCGAACAATGGAACCTCTGTATTTGAGAAGCAATTTCATAGCTTATGTAAAGCTTACACATGGAAAGCAGCCCTATCTCTGCAATAATTGCTGGCGATTAAAAAAAAAAATGCTTAAAGACCCCCAGTTGGTTTTATTTGCAACCCAGTTAAACAGAGGGGTTTAAGAGGGAAAGATTAAAGGATTTGCAAAGAAAATGTTCAATATATCGGCTAGAATTTCTTTACTTTATAGGTAAGTATCATGCTGCAAAATCAAACACCTGATCTTTAATATTTAAACTGCTAGCCTTCTACTCTTGGCAGCGTGAATAACTGCATTTTGTTGGGGAGGAGGGGCCCTTGGTTGGTATCAAGATTAAGCGTCCCTGAAATATAGCAAGCTACACAAATAGGAAATACATATCTTGTTCCAAAGAAGTGCTTTATTAATGCTGCCAAGATGTTCTGAATGATAAAGAATTTCCTCAATGGATGGATAAACCCTTCCCTTCTTTTCAGAGCTTGCCAGCATGCCAACGTTTGTAAAACACACACACACGCATACACACACACGACTACTTATTAAAATATTGGGTAGATGGATTTCTGGAAATACCTAAAATAGTCAAATAGCAGGAAAATTCTGATTCTGAATCGAGAGACAGTTACCATTTTCTGTTATTCTACTTACCGTATTTCCCCATGTATAAGCCACCCCTTTTTTCCAAAATTTTCAAGCCCAAAAAGTAGGGGGGTGGCATATACAAAGCAGGTACACTTTTTATACGTGAAAAATGCATAAAATAATAAAGTAGGAATAAACTGGTTTTCCAGCAGTATGCTATACTTTTTTGTAAAAATTGTACGTGATGATACGATTACGAGTGCGAGTACGCGATAGAAATGCATACGCTAGGCATCGGCCTGAATGCTTCGTTCCTACTCTCGTTCCGATGCGTAGATTGCTAGCGTCGCCCGCACCGCTTTCGGCGTCATGACCGAAGTTGTAGATCTAGACGTCGAATTTTGTTTCTTTGTAAATTTTCTTTCTTCATAACTTGTTTCTCTAATAAAATATTTTTTTCAAAACTTCACAGTCCAAAAATTGGGGGGGTGGCTTATACAAAGGGGGTGCTTATACATGGGGAAATACGGTAGGCAATTTTCACACGTGACCCTAAAAGCAATTGTGAATTTCCTATAACAAAATTAATCCCTAAGCAATCCCTAATTATTCACAATTTAATCCTTAAGCCAACACTCGGGGAAAATAATATTTATAGGAAGTAAAATGTGATGCAAATCCCAGCTGTTATTCCTAGAATATATAGACACGCTAACTTTGTGATACAGTAACTCATCTGCTCATCTAACACATATTGTGTATCCTCAGTGGCTTAACAAATTAGAACTGAAGTCATCCTCTTAGTTGGCCCAATCCCTGTCTCCTGTCTGACCTATCTCCTCTGATTATTTTGGAGATTTAAAAAAAGTCTGCTATCCATAGGCCCCTAAGCTTCTTGAAGGTGGAATGAGATAGATAAGAAATAAACGAATTGCAGCTGTTTCCAGAAAAGCTATTTTTTCCCTAATACAACATAGCAAAATACCATAAATCGAACTAGTCCCCTCATTTAAATGGTAGAATAAACATTGGGTCTTAGATATACTGAGGATCCCCAGAAAAATAGATACTACTGCAACACAATGAAGGAAATTGCAATAAAAAGCAATCATTTCCTTTTATTTACCTCCCTAGGGATAGATTTTTCTGATATTAATTTGTATATAACCTTTTGCTATTTGGTGAACAATATGCATATGCATTTTTATTCAGAAACCATGTTTGTCTTGACTGCATCAGATTACGCATCTTGAGTGGAGAATCAAATCAATCAATAAAATATGTATTTATTTATTATTTTATCTGGGGCAGGAAGATTAGCAGGGGATAAGCTATTACTACTTCAAAACTTTCTGTCCTTAAAACAGCAACTGCCTCATACAGCAACCATCTGCAGTTACCGTGTGGATGAAAAATTAACTTTGCAACCAATTCTCAGGTTTATGACCTTTGTAGGTCTACAAAGCAAAGCAAAGCCAAAGAAAAATCCTAAGCACAGTTGTGGTTTCATTTCGCAATTGCTTTGCTTAATGACTTAATTGCTGGTTCCAACTGCACTTGCTAAAAGAGAGCTACCAGCCATACACACATACAGGTTAATTTTAATTGATAGGAAAGTTTGAGCCGCAGTAGTGCAGTGGTTAGAGTGCAGTACTGCAGGCTACTTCTGCTGCCTGCCGCCTGCCTGCAATTTGGCAGTTCAAATCTCACCAAGCTCAGGGTTGACTCAGCCTTCCATCCTTCCAAGGTGGGTAAAATGAGGAGCCAGACTGTTGGGGGCAATATGCTGACTCTGTAAACTGCTTAGAGAGGGCTGTAAAGCTCTGTGAAGTGTTATATACGTCTAAGTGCTATTGCTATTAACTGTTAATTGAAAATTATTTCTTCTCTTACTCTCTGAACACCATTTAGATCAGTGGCCCCCAACCTTTTTTGTGCCACGGCCCAGTACTGGCATCACAAAATGATCCGCGGCCCGGTACTGGCATCAGCACGCATGACAAGGCAAGGCGAGCCAAGCGACTGGCCAGCCAGCTGTCCCCCGCTTCTCCCAGCCACCTTCAACTCCTCCTTTGTACCTTTGTCGATGGGCTTCGCTTTGGGATGGCTTCGGGATGGGTCGCTCAGCTCGCCTTGCCTTGGGTGCTGAAAGAATCCTCGCGCCTTAGTTTTGTTTGAAGCCCCCCCCCTTCGATGAAACTAAGGCGCGAGGATTCCTTCAGGACCCAAACGCCGCTTTCCAACCAGAAAAGCTCACCCAGAAGCACTTTCTCGTCAAACAAGATGGCAGCGCCCAGCAAACCGGCGGCCCGGTAGGAAATGTTCCATGGACCAGTACCAGTCCGCAGCCCGGTGGTTGGGGACCCTGAGTTGGATTATCTTTGCAGTTTGCATAAGAAAAGCCAATGTGCAGAGTACACATTACCTCTATGGCCAGCTGAAACTGCTCATGTTCTCTCTGGAGTTGCTCAGCCTCCGACAAGGAACTTGCATTGACAAGACTGGCATTGAGCATTGATTCTCCATTACGGATCCAGCCAAGGACCTAGCAGGGAAAAACAGACATGATGTTTGTTAGATGGGGAAGGCGAGACAATATCCAGACAAACTGGAGATGTGGGGTATAACAAAGTTGTCTTTCTGGTTTGGAGAAATTTTGTTCTTCAAGATTCAGGCCTTCAAGCCTTTTTCACCATTTGACCTTGCCCCGAGAGATAACATGCATCAGATGATGTATTTTAGTTCTAATTAGATTTAGTTTGAAAAATTAATTATAATTAAATAAAAGGGATTGGTTAGATGTAGACTAAGTATAACTAACTTGCTCTGGATCTCTGTGCGAGTCTTTGACTATCATAAACATTTGGTTTGATTTGATTACTCTGCATCTAATCCAATGAGACAAAATAATTTAGTGCCTTTTGTTACAAAGAAACAAAACCCATATATGAAATACTGTAAATAAAGTACAAATAGTCCTTCACTAAATATCTATAATATGTACATTACACAATTTTACTGAGTACATTGGATCAAAAAAATAAATAGAAATATATGAGGTATATGATGTGCAACTAATTAAATTTACCTAATAAGCTCCTAAAAATTGCATGTTATCTAAAAGAGATAAAGCACCAGACTTGCCAATGTTATGTGGTTTGTTTCATGCAACTTTTTTTCCTGAAAAATACTTCCATTTTCCAGATACATTTGCCTGCAGCTCCTTGAAATATTTGACATGGCTAGAAACAAGATACCATCAACTTTCTTTTACTTTATTGTTTTCATGTCTGTAAAAATTTATTGTTTCACCAAAAAACCAGTTCAACTGTTATTTGATATTCATCCAAAATCCATCTGTTGATGAAGTAAGAATGTGGAAATTAATTAATAGTTACATTTAACGATTTAACTATTATTGCTACCCAGTAATGACTAACAAAAGTCCCACCCTCAGACAACTTTTCATTTTACATCTAAGTATCTTTTCTGCCACTTCATATCCCAGAACTACTCTAAAAAGTGTGAGGGAGGTTTCCTCTGGGATCTACAAGCAACAGGAATCTGCCCAAACATATTCCATCCAAGGCCTGCTGCTCTTTCAAGCAGCAACTACAGCCTCAGTTGAACCAGGTTCTAAGACTTCAGAAACAACCACAAACTCCCTTTGGCTATATTATGTTCCTGGGCCAGACCAAATAAATCTGGTGGAATAAGAGGACTCACAGCAGCCAGTTTGGCATGGATGGGTGAGCACAGCCAGGTGAGTGTGGCTGGGTCGGTATGACTGGTTGTGCATGGCCGGATGGGCACAGAGAAATGGGCATGAAGAGGTTGGAGGAAATAACTTGGCGCAATGCAGCCAAGTGGGCATGGACAGGTCAGCATGGTACAAATCACTCTGGCCAACTGGATGTTGGGACAACTCAATGCCCTACCTCGCCTCTCTGAACTGCCAGAAGCCAAGCATGTGTCTCCCAGAACTTGCTCTGGAGCCTGGCAGTGGCTCATCTGCTACCACCCCGAGAACAACTTCCTTGTCACCCTCTTCTTCCTTCTTTCTCCTTCTCCAGCCAGACTGCAGGCTGTGAAGATCTGGATGGGGAGGAACCGGCTCCTCCTCAACCTTAAGAGAGAGATTTTGGCCCACCTGGACCTCAAGAGCTTTCATGTTTTATCTTCTCCAAGGGAGACAAAACCTCACCTTCTCCAGATCTTGCTGTCTACATATCAAGGATGTTTCTGCCTCAAATCCACTAAGTAAACTTAAAGTAGCCCTTATAACTATTTATACCCTGGAAATAATTACAAGTGTTCTAACTCTTGCTGTTATTTTGTCAATATCACAACAATTCTTTCAATTCTTTAACATAAAGAACTGTGAAAAAGCAATCATTTATCTTTTGATATTCTAAGCATTTGCAGTGCCTTTTTTACCTTTAAATTTACTACCTTGGCATTGAAATTTATAGAGTACATAGGGGAAAACAGAAAACTTTATTAAATGAGATTGGGGTGGTTGGAATTTTAAAATTTAGAAAATTTAAAATTTAAACCATTTAGAATTTCCATTGTCCTGAGGTACAGCCATATGTCAGCTTTCTAGAATGCTGCAGACTTTGTACTGCATCAGCAAAAGTTAAGTAGGGTTAGCACCATGAACTGTTTGGTGGCAGTCTACTTTTCCTTGGCTTCTAAGAGCAAGAGTTACTCGATAATAAATTTAAGACCATTTGTTGCCTCAACTGTTCCAAAGTGAAAGTAAAGTACACTTGGCTCTCTACTGAAAATGAAGAGCAAGCCAAAATCAATACAGATTCCAATTTTACTAAATTATGTTACTTATGACTCATTCTTCAGGAAGCCAAATTTAGCCAATACCTACCACAGTATGACAGGGCCATGATATATTTAAATCCAGCTGCTTCTAAGAATTATTGCTGCAATAATTCACAAGTTAATAAGCCACTGACTTTTAAAATATGGATCTGAACAAATAAGATCTTGCTACAGACTTCCTAAAAAGTATCTGAATGAAGAAGGCTCATAAATACTTTTAAAGAAATTAATGAATCACAGGTTGTCAGCCTTCCCAGGTAGACCAGAAAGGAAACAGACCAGGTGAGCTAATTCTACTTTATTGTAAGGCTCCATTAAGAGATTCTTGCAAATCTGAAAGTACAAATCTTCCACTATTTCTTTTTAGGGTCTGCTAAAATTGGGAGGGATCTTTTCTAAGGTTCTTTCTCTGCCTGTTAGGCAACTGGAGGTTCCCCCTTCCTCTGCCTTTTATCCGATCATCCTAGGCAACATCTTCTGTCTCTCAAGGTCATTCCCATGTACCATTATACAGGTACTCTCTTGAACTAGGTTTAAATGTTCACTTCTAAACCAATGCTACTTACTCTGCTCTTTTGACTATTGGTGTTATATAATTAAAATTAATATTAAAATATAATATTCATTGAGTAACTACTACATAGATAACCTTTAAAAATGAGAAGAACATTAGAGATAAAAACATGTTAGAGACAGAATGAGAAAGTATATTCCTAAATAGATGTAAAAATGAAATTGGAACATTTAAAAAGGGACCTTTAAAAGTTGTAAATTCAAGGAAGAATGACCTATTTCCATAAGAACCATATAATAAACATTAATTCCTTCAATATGATGTTGAACACTGGAATCTTCAGTTGGTTCACATTATTTTTTAGCAGGAATCATATATCATAAATCAGCAACCACCGATATTGTTTTGGATTATGATATATGGGGATATATCATAATCCAAAACAATATCGGTGGTTGCTGATTTATTTTTGAGAGAATAAGTATTTCTTTCCTTTTGATTCCATCTTTATTTTTGCTTTCAGTGAGTTAATTTTTAAATCATGATATGCTATGGCAGATTCTGAAACTATCTGGTAACAATGGCAGGCAAAAAAAAAAAAATGATTCGATCCTATAAATATTTTCAATATTGAGCCTAATTGACTATTTTGAGCTCTGGATGAATAAAGGATTTGCTATAAGTTTTAAAATATAATAAAGATGTTCTTGTAGTTTGCAACTTTCTATCTTCATGTGATAACTTGAAACTCATTTTTAAGAGCAAGGAACTAAGTTTTTTACAGCCCTCACACTGTATTCCACTATTTATAGACCTTGTGTGTATAATAATACTCTTACTTTGATGAAAGTGGTTGAATAGAATTGTAAAGCAGATAGACTGCTGACCTGCAGCAGCTAAATGTAGACTGAGCAAATGGTAAAGCAATCAAGGTCCTTTTACTTCCATATTTTGAATATATTCAGACCAATAAACCTGATACCTCACATTCGCCACTCTCCTGGCCTAAACAGTCAATGGAATCATATATACAACCATTTTTTCTTGTTAATTGATATTTCATGTTCTTGCCTCAACATGAAATATTCATCTCACAAGATGTTTTTTTTTTAAATGAGTAGAATTATTGTCCCTTGGGTCAACAATAATGCATGAATAAAACCTTAGATATTTTTACATTGTGTTTCCTTGCTTTATGCTTCATGCAAATCAAATAAATATTTTCTGTACCATTAAAAAAGATTATGGTTTCTTCCTGCACAGATTTTTATCAGTAGTGAAATGTTCCAGACTTGTATATCTTTGAATACAAGTAGTGTTTAACAGTTACATGAACACTTCCTCCACACATAAAAACACCTCCCCAAGCATTTTTATCAATTCTTGATCCAAATCCGTGGCGTTCAAAACAGAAAAACAACATATCCTACTATATAGTTTGGGGATTTTTTTTTTCATTCTGTTTGTTTTGAATGTGCATCACTTTATTCATGTGAATACGTGATACAATATGAGATGAAAAACATGCCTAGGTGTGTTTTTTTTTAATGGAACATTGAGAAAATAGAGCAGAAATGGTCAATTAATTTTCCAAAGGAGCCACATGAGAATCTTGGACTGTTCTGAAGGCCCCGGACAGCACCATTTATACCCCACCCCCATTGCCACCCCACCTGCCGCTGTGGGCTGGGCAGAGACAGTTGGAATGAGAGTAACACTGGCGTTACTGCACGAGAGGACTTTCCCTAAATGAGATGGCAGCAATCAGTGGTCTTCACCACCCCCTCCCCTCTCTCTCCATCAGTCACATGGTTCACTTAAGCCACCTGTACTGTTGCAGATGTGAATTTTCAGCGGCTACCAGATTTCGAATGGTGGGAGCCGGACATTTAACAGCCATCTCGATCATATAAGCAAAGAAGCGGAACAATGGGGAAAACCCTGACCTGCTTAACCTCTGCCTGCAGGTGCCGAAGCTGAAGGCACTGCTCGAGCCGTTTGTGCGTCTGATCAGCATTCAGCTCCAACTCGTGCTGTTTCTCATGAAGGAATTCCAGCAGCTCTTGCACTTGGATTGCTAGATCGATGTCCTTTTCACAGATTAGTTCAATGCCTGGAATAGAATAAACATCCTGAGATGGGGGGAAAAAACCCAGATAAGCTGATTATTGCTCCCTTTTTGGGAAGGGAAGGGGAATCCAGCTGACCCATAATAATATCGGACATTAGTTGAAGGTAAATTACTTTGGATTGAACCCATACAGTTGATAGAGTATTGGAAAACATATTCTTAGCTGCTCTTAATCTAGCATTCCCTGTGATTTTTGTTGAAGTTAGTGTCTGCATAGGATACATGTTCATAAACCAATATTATTCTTCCCATTGCATTCTTTCTTCGGCACAGCTATTAGAAATAACAATTTGTAACTGGAAAGAATGGCCTATTGAATCAAAGTAAGGTAGTATTTCTTCATACAGATATAAATGAGACTTCAGTTCATTGTAACTACCCTATTAGTTCTCCTGAGTTAAGATGCTGTTGTTCTTTCACAATGGAAAGAAAAAAGTAAACAAAAGTAAAGCACTTCATTTTTACCAAATGAAAAGACAATCTGTTAAGCCTGCGAGCACCATGGTTAGTCATACCCTTTTCTTCTGTGCAGTTTGTTCTTGGTGAAGCACTGCATTCTGAGCAAGTTGTTTTAATAATTAGATTTGAATTGTGGCATTAGAATGCTCGAGCAATATTCTTTGTAGCTACTTACTACTTCATTTATTCATTTGAAAATGTAGCCGATGTATCTCAGTACTTTAGTACTTCAATTTTACTTATGGGAACAATGATGTTAAATAAGAAAAGATAAAGAAATGCACACCCATACACGCATACAGAGTCATTCACTCTGAGCCTGAATTATTTCTAATAGCCATAATTCAGCCTGAGCTGAATTATGGTTATTAGAAAATTCAATATTGTACATTACTGCTATTCCAAACCAGTAATCTTTTCAGATTTGTTTGAGCATCTCAAAGTAGATACTTAAAGTCATCTACTTCTTCGGAGAAGAAGGGAATGTTTACTTTAGCTATTTGACTAAACATACAAGGACATATTGTTTGTAGAATCTGTTTACAATCAACTCCATTTGAAAAGAAATACTCTTGTTTAATGACCAGTTCTTTAGTGTCTGTTTCAACCTAAAACAACACTGAATAAATTATAGTTAAGACTGGACCATGTGCTTATGGTTATCACTGTGTCTGCAGTTACACGATCTGGCTTTGCAACCTTTCCCTGATGGCTTCCCACAAATAAGTCAAAGGGGAAGCTGGCAGGAAGTTGGAAGTTGCAGAAATGTGAAATTCTCACTTAACAACCTGCATGATCCTTGCTTAATGATGGCAACTGGGACTCCTGGAAATGCTATCACAAAGTGCTGTGTTTGCATGGTTTTTAAACTTATGATTGCATTACTTAATTACTGTTTCCGGGTCCAATTAGTCAGAATAAATGAGGACTACAAATATTGCTATCATAACATTGAACGATTTAATGTTCTTAGTACTCATTAAAAAACAAATCACATTTCAGACAGGGAAAAATCCTATGGCCGTTAAGCAGAATTTTGGAAATCTGACCAGTATTGTATTTAGAGGTGGCAAGCAGTTTAAACTAAATATATGTGTTGATAATTAGGTAAGAAGCATGATGATCACCATGTTGCAGAGGATAGAAGATTGATAGATGGTATTGCACTGATAAAACTGATGCCTTTGGTTTTCTAATCAATATTATTTATCTCAAAATTCAGTATTAAAATCTGTATGGTGTAAATCACAATTATGTTTCTCCTTATAAGATACATCTGCAGGAAATACCTTCTTTTCATACTTTCCTATTATGATTTTTTTCCTTTTCCCTCCCTATACCTTCAAAAACCAAGATACTGTATACTGAATAACATGGACAAAGATTGTTATTGGAAGATTTAAAATTACAAAGGTGATAAAATTAAGTGGGCAGGGTTCTCTTGGCAGAAGAGAAGGGGGACACGTGAAAGTGTGGCAATTTTCTGATTGAAAATGATGGTAATTTTCTTAAGTTTAGAGGTAGAGTTTAATACTTCAGCTAAAAGTTGGAAGTTTTTTATTCAATAAAAAGAAGGTATGCAGAAAACCAAAGCTAACAGATGTTGTAGTTCTAGTTCTCTCACAGATAAAAGCAAACAGCTCAGTATGAGATTTGGCCATCGCTGAGAGAAGAAAGAGATGGAAACTATTCTTCCCTTAACCAAAGGAGAGTTGCTTGGAGTCCTTTACATACATCGAAAAACATGCATTTAAGCATTATTGCATATCTGATAAACAAGTTGTTGCAGTTCATTTGCAGTGGCTTCTTTGGTTTCATACAACAAATAAGATCTGTCCAGCTTGCTAGGCAGAAGTCTAACACACTGGTCATGTGATAAAATAAATTTTAACAGTGATACAAAGAACAAAACTTAAACACATGTGATCTAAAAAGATCTATCCCCGAAGACACTTAATGTTTGAAATACTTACCAGTTGTGTTAGCAATTGCAAACTATGACTGCAAGCACATCGAAGATCTGCTGCGAAGTGTATAGTAAATGCTGGAAAAGTCCTGAAGACACACAGCATCCTTTAAAGGCTAACTATAATAAATGTGTGTACTATGTCTCACATTTATAAAACAAAAATCTGTCTCTCCAAATGGGAAGATTACGAGGCTCCAAACAGGAAGTTCAGGATCCATTCTGCTTTATTGGAAATGAAGAAATTGTTTTGTTTGGGCAGGAAGAACAAACTGCTTTCATTTTTATGTGTTTTTCTTTCCCATACAACTGTTTACAAGACCACATATGCAGGATGATCATCGTCTTAGTCCTGAATTTGCTTGTGTTTTAAGTATTATGATAAATCCTTGATGAAAAAAGTACTCCTCGCCATTTAGGAGCTTTTCCCTATGCCAATTGTGAGCTAAAAAACAGTCGACTGAGATGCTTACATAGACCATATAATATTTGCACAAAAATAGAGACCTGTGGTGGTGCAATGGTTAGAATGCAGTATTGCAGGCTGTTTCTGCTGACTGCACGCAGTTTGACCCTACTGGCTCAAGGTTGACTCAACCTTCCATCCTTCTGAGGTCAGTAAAATGAGGATCCAGATTGTTGGGGGCATTATGCAGACTCTGCAAGCTGCTTTGTGAGGGCTGTAAAGCACTGTGAAGTGACATATAAGTCTAAGTGCTATTGCTACTTCAAGCCAAATCAAATCAAAATCCTTTATGTGAAGAGACAGAAGTCATGTGCCTTTTGCCCCACCTACAGTATTTTGTTACTGTGCTCACAGGACTAGTTTTTTTAAAATAATTACTTTGATTGATGGCATTACAAAATATGGGTTCAGGTAATTTGTCTTGGTAATTTTAATACCCCGAGATTGCCTCTGGTAGATAAAACGCCAAAATTTCAGATTTCAAAGAAGAACAGGATTCAAAATGGAAAGGGCAAAATATTTGATGTGGTTCTGATTCCTTTTTCATCAGAGTATTCTTCTTAACCACTTGTTTTTTGTATCTTCTTTTTTCTTTCTTTTAGGATTTATCTGGTTTTATGAATTCTGAGAGATTAAGTAAATTTCTATCTGGATGTAGGAAAGCTTTTATTGAAGTATGGAAAAATCAAATGATTTTTTAAAATTTAATTTCCTTTGTAGTTGTTCCTGATGGACATCTCTAGTCATACTGTAGTACATTTCTGTGAAGACAAATTTATGTCTTCCACTTACCTGAAGCTTGCACTTCCATGATGTACTGGTGCAAATCTTGTCCTTGCTGAATGACCTCAAAAGTCATATTGTTCATAGCCATCTTCCTCTCTGTATGCCTCTGCAGACGCTGTTCAGCCAAAGTGAGATCCTCGGTGTTGAAATCATTCATTTGACGTAGCAAATCCTCATTCCAGGCATCTAATTCAGCGGTCACCTTCAAAGAAAAAAAAAAAAAAAGCAATGCAGAATAAGCAGGCAAAATCATTAAAATTAAGGTTACCAGGGGGAAAATATCTAAAATAGAGTATGTAACCACAGAAGAGAATAAACCTAATTACATTCCAAAAATTTTAAAATTACCATCGCATAAGATACAGTGAAATTGAGAAGCGCTTTAATTATGCGTTGTTTGTAAAGAGGTTCATTACTGCGAAAACTTAGAAAATCATTTTAGACTGAAAATTATGAATGCTTAAAGGAAATCTTCAAGTTAGAGATCGTTAGATATGCCCAAATTAGAACAAATTAACTACCCGTGAGATTGCCTACGCTTCCTTAAGCTTAATGTTTGTTTTTTCAAAAGCATTTGATTTAGAAAAAATTGAAAAGAGCTGCCTTTTCAAGCATGCCTGTGTTTTTGAAAATATTGGTTTAAAATATTTGTATCCCTATTTTAAATTTAAAATTCCCTACGGGGCTTAGAACATTATAAAAAATATCAACTATGCAATAAGAATAACAGTGCCACCGAAGAAACAAAACCACCAATAGCTATCTCATGCCTGCAACTGACATTGGGTGAATCAATATTGGGTAGGTTAATCAGTCTACTAAATCATTGTTACTTTACCAAAGTTTGTTGAACAGCTGTAGTTTAATGGATTTATATTATATGGAATCACAAACCATAGACGCAGTCCTTGACTTACAATCACAATTGAGCCCAACTTTTCTGTTGCTAAGTGAGATATATGTTTAGTGAATTTTTCTCCATTTTATGACCATCCTTGCCACAATTGTTAAGTGAATCACTGCAGTCAGGTTAGTAACATGGTTGTTAAATGAATCTGGCTTCCCCATTGACTTTGCTTATCAGAAGGTCACAGAAGCTGATCACATGACCCCAGGACATTCTTAAATATGGACCAGTTGCCAAGCATCCAACTTTTGTTCACATGAGGATGCTGCAATAGTTGTAAGTGTGAAAAACAGTCTTTTACAACTTTTAACAGTGCCTTGTAACTTTGAGCAAATGATTGTAAGTCATGGACTACCAGTGCTTTACAAAGCATAATAGCTAAATTCACATAAACCCAATCTTGCATCTTTTTATTAAAAGTTAAATTCAACTGAATTCAGTATTTTTCTATATAGAAGAGTAACTTTTATACTCCATGCCAGAATGCTTATTCATATTAATTTGGTCTCAATAAATGCCTTGTAGAAGTGAATTGGAGGGGAACAGCCCTTTCCCAATGCAGTTTCCCTAGCAGCTGGTATTCAGAACACGCTGTCTTTGATTCTGGAGGTGGTACGTTCTCAGCAGACCTAGTGCTACAGACGGATAAATTTAGATTTAATGATCTAATGTTGATAGAAGGGTTTCCTTTGATGGTCATGTGAATTACTGGAATTGTGAAGCCTTCCTCAGACATTATTCCATCAGTAATCCAAATTTTCTAGCTATCATGTGTTCCAACAGTACACAAAATGAAACAAAATGAAAACTATTTATGTTGTAACAAAGAAAGATGCTGGACTTTCATCTTTTAGACCTACAGAAATTATGATTCCAAGAGCTAAAATGTTTGGGTTTTTTTTGGAATATGTCAATCAACATTTATTCCTTGAGGGAATAAACTTCAGCCTATAAACCATCATGCCCACTGTGAGAGATCATTGCAGAGTCTGTGGAGTTCTAAAACTCTGTCCAAATTCTAATCCTAGCAATACTCCATTGAACTGAAAACTCATCATTTTGTTTGCAGATTATTGTATGCCTCTGCATTTTGTTTGAAGCTAATAGTATTTGCCTGGGTAATATTTTCTATCTTGCATTCTGAAAGCCGGTATGAATCACCATTCTGCAATCACCTATGCTTACTGATATAAATTGTACCATTATTTCTGACAGAAAAAGATCCCATGCCTCTACTTTTCATAGTCATATTCCATGAAAAGCTTAAGTGTGCTGTAGAATATAGGGATCCTTGATGAATTAGATAAAAAGGCTGCAAGACATTTGAAAATATTACCAATCTGTTGATTCCTAAGAACTCGTTTTATCAAATAAGACCTGTTTCCATTCCATAGGAGTGTCTTCTATTTTGGAATGGCCAATGCAATTCTTACCTCAATAGTGTACTGTTCAAAAATCCGGAGCTGAAGAAAGATATCTAGCTTAATTTTTCTCTCATGGAAGAGCTCTTCCATCTGGACCTGAGCTTCATCAAGCTGCTGGAGGACAGATTCAATGTGGCTGATGGAACTATTATGTGGTGTTTTATTGTTAGAGACCGCCGAATCTCTGTGGTAAAGTCAAAACAAATGGTTAGAAACCCAGTGTTGATAAAGGCACTGAGAAATTGCAAAGGAAAAGAAGAAAAATATACCAATGGCATACAAATCCCTTCCTGGGCTCCGTCTCCTTTTTGTTTTATTTCATGACATTCTGGTTCCTTACCAATATTTGGTCCACTTAAAAATCCTTCCCCTTAAGCAAAATATTATACTGTGTGAAACAGTATAACATGTATTCCTATTAGCTGTATGTTATTGAGGCAAGGTGGGATTTCTTGATCTATAGTCAAGCAATGTTTTCTTATTTTGCACCACAAAAATAATCAGTTATGCAAGCTTTCAAGATTCATTCATTAGGGATTCCTTAGTAAAGATTTTGTAAAAAAATGGGTGAAAACTGGAGAACCCTACATGTTACCTTAGATGAAGAATCACTTTTAAGTCTGCATCCCTTTCCCGCCCCAGCTTATTTTTTTTCTCTGTAACTTAATAAGTTCAACACTCCTGGATCTTTACCTCCATGTTATGTGAGAATGACCTTATGGGAGGAGAGGAAGAGATGCTGCCTAGGATCAAACACGAGAGAGTAGAGCCCCCAGTAGCTTAATAATCAGAGGAAGACTCCTAAGAAGGATCCACCCTAATCAGGGGTGGGCTTCAAAAATTTTAGCAAAGGTTCTCTGCCCAGTTGCTGAGTGGGCGTGGCCATGGTGAGTGTGGCCTAATCGACCTCCTGAACCACAGCGGGGGGGGGGGGCATTTTGAGGAGGTTTTCCTCAAGCCTCTGGAGGGCAAAAACGGCCTTCCCCAGGCGCCGGAGACTCTCTGGAAGCTGGAAACGGGTCCATTTCCAGTCTTCCCCAACTTCTGGGAGATCTGTTTTTCGCCCTCCCTGCATCCAAAATGGGCTACGTGGGAACTTCTGGGAGGGGTGGGGTGGGGTAGGCAGGGCCAGTCAGGAGTGGGATTTGGGGGGGTTCCGAACTGCACAGAATCTTAGCTAGGGGCTCTCCCAAACCTCTGTGAATCCCCCAACAGCCCACGCCAACCCTAATTGATGAGGCAGTTAAAAGTGATGGTGGGAGATTTGTACCTTCAGGTGTACAGTAAAGTAGAATAATCTCATCCAGTTATGTGTCCTGCCAGTCAACCTGGAAGGGCTGACATTAGCTACCTTCCACTTTCTCCTGTTTTTTCTTGGTACCAATTTAAGAAGAGTGCTTTTTTTTTCTTCTGTACTCTTGAACCAGTCATGACCCCTGGCAACTGCCTGGACACATCCTTGTAATTTTGGGGGACAAGATTTTGGAAGAAGCCACTGCCTTCTTCCTAGGGCTGATAAAGAGGAACTAGCCCAAAGTCATCCAACTGACTTTACATGAGAACCAGTTTAGTGTACTGGAGGGAATATGGCTTACTCTGTTTTATATGATGTGGGATACTCAGTTAGTGCTACCATATCTGCAAAAATTCAGATGAATACTCGGGAATAAGAAAAAAGGGAAAGGTTTTGCTATGATCTGATGATCATCTGAATTGCCATAGTCCAGCTATGGTAGCACTAATCACCATAGGTTCTCTAGTATCTATTAATTATCTATTACCTATCTACCTAACACTTACCTACCTATCTACTAATGCAACTTTAAGTAGAATACAACTATAAGTAAAACATTATCAAGGGATTAGGATTTTTCTCCCCATTTATTCAGATCTATTAAGGAGCACTCCACAAATTCCTTGTAAATGATAACACCTTCATGTTAGTCAGAGGAATATGCTGTTCCTGAGGAAGTACAATTCAGAAAAAAAAAATAAGTTACTCAATGTGTGACTGGATTTCATTATCTACACATCCCATTATGTGGGAGATTTAGACAGTTTGAGTGGAATAAAGAATAAGAAAAGATTGGGAAAAAGCAATCACAAATACATGTTGAAAAAAGTCAAAGCAAGTTTTTACTATATTTTAGCTAATTAGGAAGAAACATTTATTCCAACACAATATACAAGGAGCTAATAAAAAAAAATCATTGCCTTCAAAAACACATCTTCATGAAACCAAAGCAAAGCAAAATGAAGCAAACCAGACCAAATCATAGTGGGGAAAAAGAGATTCAGATCAGAAGTATGATCTGGAGGGTTTAACCTTTTGCTATGTTCTGCTTTCTCACTGATAATTGCCAGTACTGTGGGAGAGAAATCAAGAGTTCTTTGTAACTTTTTAATAGAACAACAATTCCAATCCTATATATTCTATTTCACTTCTACTGTAGTGCTCAGTAAAAATGCAATGGTACTGAAATGTAGTAAATGTTTAAAGCTGAAAGATCTGCCTACAAATATATATATATATAT